ACCTCAAAATGGAGGGTAAAAAATTACCTGTTCAACCAAATAGTAAATGGAAAAGATCAAACAATCTGCTATTCCTGGTGACAGTACCACTTTCACAACTAATTGCTGTGGAAGAATCCAAGAAACCTTTATGTCAGACACTGGAACACTAGCCCAGGCATCTACAATAGAATGTAACCCCCTTGGGTTACATAACAATTATTATTATATGTAATCTTTTAAGATTAATAATTATAAAGTAGTGTTATCCCTTTTTACATGCATTTTTTATGTTAATAATTTTTCTGTAAATTAATAAAGATTCACCTATTTATTAATTTACCTCTTCCATGAAAATTATAATCAAGTTGAAAAGGATAATTATCTCCTGGGTGTATCCAAGAGATGATTATCCTATTTACCTCTCTTGTGTGTATGATTATTAGGGGGTATCAAATATAAGAAATCCACCATTAGAAACCAGTCAATTATCCAAAAATATTTTTTTCCACCAATGGGTCCACAAAGGGGTAGGATGAAGAACTAACATGTTTAAAAAATGGTGGTTTTTTCAAAACCAGTGAATTAAACAAGGGTGGATTTGGTTATATTTGATACCGCCTATTATGTTTATTTCTCTTATGTGTATTTTCTGAAATAAAGGATATTCAGCACATGTACATTTAGCATGCTCTGAATATCCTGACACTTTCCCCCAAGGAAAAGTGTACCAATAAGGGGACTGCACCGGTCCCAGAAGCAGTTTGACCCCTGCTCTGTAATATTTAAGAGGATGACTCTCCCCCTGAGATTCATCCCCCAGACAATATTACCATACAAACCCAAATACCTTACTAGTTATTACAACAATATAGTGAGTGGGGTCTTTTACAGTAAACTATTGTACTTCAGTTATTACATTTCTCTTTATCATCTTGCTAGCCTTATAAGTTACCTATTTAACTTATAAGACTAGTACAAACCTCCTTTTCCTCATAAATCCTTCAGCTCAGGCACAGTGAAGCTCATCCCACTTTTGTCCCTTATTATTATAAGGAGCTAGCCCCTCCACTGTACCAGTGTTGAGGAGAGGCTTCATTTCCACTGGCCCTTTTTGGCTATAGTGTGACCATTACCCATCAACTCCTAGTCACATAAGAGACAGGAGCTGACACCTTACAATTAATTGCTTTTTAACTGAAAACTACACTGATATAGCAGCAAGCCTTCAAGGAAATCTTAGGTGTACAGTGGGTGGGTCATTATCTTTGGCTGCTTGTAATAAAACCCTTTTTTTCAAACATTTCATCTACTTTTTGGGTCAAAATTTAGTACATATTTGAAATCTGATCTGTGATAGATATCCTGTTGTATTTTTTGGACTAACATTGCAATCCATCTTTCCAAAAAATCTTGGATGGAAATTATTTTCCAGAAGCTTTATATGATTTGTCATTGGTATGAGAAGATCCATCTAATCTTGCATCACTTGTATCAATATTTCCACGCATTTTACCCAGTTTTTCTTCAATATCACCTATTTTATTCTCTATTTCTATGAATGATGATTGTACAGCTACCAAGCCTCTCACCATTGATATCCCTTGGATCAAGAGAATTATGGTTTCAATCACACAGTTTTTTCCCATAGACTCAGCCAAATAATCTGATTCAAGATTTACAACTTGATTGGTCAAATAAAACTTACATTGATCATTTGTCAAATTTCCTTGTTTTGAGCTCATATCAGCTTTTGCCTCTTTGGCTAGGTCTTGAATTTTTATGAGATTTTTTGTAGTGTGAGATGGGATGTAAATCATTTTTATAGTCAGATTTTGATGGTGAAACATCTTCATTGTAGGACTTCCTGTCACAATCTGCAGGTCCCCCAGGACCAATTTAGGGCCTCAAAAACCAAATTTCTCTACTAGAATTTTCAGTTTTTGAGTTTGGATCAAGTTCTTAAAGGGATCCAGTTCACACAGGAAGTCCCCCACTGTTTATTTATTAAAGGAAACCAGTGATTGTTTCCTCCATACTTCTGAGAAAAGGGGACCTTGAAACTGATGGGATGCACACATACCTTGGGAAGATTTTTCCATCCTCTTGTGGAGGAAGTGAAGTTGAGTTCCTGCAGTGACATCATCAATTTCTCTCTTTCCCAGAGTTTTTATATATAAATTTGGATGTGCTGTGATTATGTAGCAGTTTAAGAGATGAAAGGCACAAAAAATACTGGATATCTGCATGACTCGGGTTGGTTTGGTCTTATCAATTGTTGATTAAAGTGAGAGTAGCAGAAGCTTGTTCAAGTTTGATGTGGATGATTGGGAAAATCCAGGGAGACAAGGGGTATTTGTAACCAAGAGCTATCCGCCAATTTGTGGTGATGAAAAAAGTAAAATTGTAAGGAGACCTGACTACTGCTTGCTTTTACTCAAAACTGATACAGAAAGTCTATTTCCAAGTCAACTGTGCCTGTTTGAGATGGTGTATCTTAACAAATAAATCTTATAAATATATCTGCAGTCTATATGGCCTGCATAAAATTGATGTCTGGTAGCATCTTCAACTGGTTTCATTTTCAACCCCGCATGTAACAAATTTTATTCCTTGAAGAGAAAAATTATAATTACATTTAATGTTATGTTTCTTGATCACACCCATAATTCTCTCAAATTTTATGGCCAACAATGTATATACAAATCATGTTTCACACCCATTATTTTTACCAAAGTTGCAACTACGGTTTGGTGGAGTTACAAGCCCTTATGGCAAGGTTATCTGGAGCCCGGCCCCAAATATAAGAATATTAGTTTTCCAGACCTATTATATATTGTTTGAGCCAACACTGGGTAAATAAACTACCTGTAATGGTAGCATAAAGATAAAGTAGTGATTTTGCACTCACTATAATTGAATATAATATGTTTGGGAATTTTTTTTACATCAAATGATCATCTTTGTTTTAGGGAAAACTATCAGCAACTTGTGGGCTCTGTTTCAAACATAAATATTAAAAGAGAGGAGTTTTGCCACTTAGCATGTGTGGAAGGTTAAATAACCTCCAGATAAAGCAACAATACACTACTTAGTACAGGATGAGATAAATTTTTCCCACTGCAGATAATGTTAATGTATCAGGAAAGTAATCAAGTCCACTACATTACTTGAATAATGCAGATACCGCTGTTTAAAATAGTTACCCAGTGTTGGTTGGGCCCACTGATATATTACAACAAACTAAAATTCATTGGCGGTCCCGGACAACATAAAATTGGTCTAGAACATTCATATTATATTAAATGCCTCTGGACCCTGTTTGAACTTGTCATAGGGTTTTATAAGTGACAAAACACCTTTGGCAGTGAAAGATAATGGTTTAGCTATGCGCTGTCCACATTTATACATGTCAATCTAACTTTCTGAAAGCGCTTCCTGTGTGGGAGGGCCAGAGCACATGAAAGCTTGAAGTTTCAACTCACTTTGAACCAAAGACCAAATGGATCTCTACTGGTCACATAAGACCTTGCAATGAATACTGGCAATGAAAAATGCACACTTATTTGTGCAGATTCACTTTCAAGACTTCATGCAAGGCATTTGCACTCAACTCTGAATACCACTATTATGTGAATAATTCATTTAATTGATTTTTGGTATTGGAATTTTCCAATCTGGTAGTTTATTATCAATGCCTTTCATGTTACAATCAGTACAGACTATGCATCATTGCTGGAAATAACCTTCCTAGATAAGGGTTAGGATTTTTGCCAGCTGGGCATAACTCAACAAAGTCCTCCCTGTGAAAGAAGTGGGTTTTGGGTGGTGCTTACATTTTCCACCTCTCCCACATGTTGGCCTAAACAGTCCAGCTGTCAACTCAACTAACCTTCCTCTGGTGGGAGGTTTGCTGGTGTGAATCACAGGCTGGTGGCAAATGCACCACTCCCACAGCTTCTGGAATGTTTAAGCAAAAAGTCTTTGCTTTCCTTGGGCTCAGCGCTATGTGGTCAGTGGAGTTCTTACAAATTACTGGTAGCTCACGTTGCTAACCATGTAAAAACTCAATTGATATCTGGACTTTCCTTTGAAAGAGAACCTTAGATTAAGAATAAATGATGTCAGATGAGCATCATAAGTAAGCAAGTCATATGTTGCTTTTCTGTCGACTGTTGAAACATGTCATACACCATGAAATATCTGAGGGCAGTTGGTGTCCACTGTCAGGTGACCTGAAGTGTCATATGTTACAACTCCATTGTTACTCTGCTGCTTGTCTGCTCAAATAACAATGGGCCCTTTGTGGTCATCAGGGAGTCCCAACCCTTTGACTTTGAAGTAACACTGTAATAAAGGCAGGAGTTAGCTTCATGTCACCTGGGATGTAGTACTGCCCTCAAATCTTTTATGGTGATACTTTCTAGGATCTTTTATTTTGGAAATAAATTGATTGAATCACTTTGACAAACTATGAAACTTGTGATGGATTAATCAAATTATTTCTTCCTCTCTCTTCATTGGTTCATTATCTTGACCAAAGAAAAAAAATTATGATATTATTATTCTTATCTAGTAATTCTAAAAACAAATCACTCAGCTTAGCTATCAAGAAGAGTTTTCATATATCTTCTAAGCCATCTAGAAATTGCCTCCTTTGAAGTCCTTTCCAGTTGTGTTCATAATACTAGAAGTTATAAGATAGACCATCAGAGATTAGTAGGGAGTATGTAACCTCAAATGGCCTTTTACCATTCCCACCATTCAGTTTGTCAAGTCTTTTAATTCTGAAGAATACTCAAAAGTCCAGATTGTATTTTTGTCCTTCCATATTAAAAAAAGTTTGAGACAATAGGACAGTTCATGTCTGGCTTCTTAGCCAGTCTGCTGATCAGCTGCTTTGCTGGCTTAATAAAATTTTATTTTAAAATTGATAGGTTGTCCAAAAAAGATCTTGCTTGTTGGTTGCTGGTTGCTATCATTTTCTCTCAAAATATGGGGATATCCCAGCCAAGTTCAATGATCATGCTGTTTCCATCTGCTGGCTCAGTGTAGATTTTCCCAAATTTTCCATAAATTTTGCTGCATTTTTTGATACCAGCAAGATGGTGGCCAATTGTCCAGCTAGCTAAAATGCTAGGCGAGAACCGTCCTGTGGGAAGTCCTCCATTTCTTTTTCATGCCAAGCTTGCTGGAATAATTAGTGAGTCATTGTGAACTTCCTCTCAAGTTTGAAGCCCTGATTGAGAACCCTGAAGAGGGTCTGAAGACTCTGAAGCAAGATGTCTTGCAGCTCATTGTGGGATGACACACATCATGTGGTCCTAGATGCGCCGTAGTCCCCGCGCTGGGTGCCCGCTCTTGCCCTTGAGCTCTGTGCCCCCCGGGGGTTGTACGCATCCCTGAAGCTGTTGACCATCCACCTGGCTGTTGACCACCCAACCAAAAAAACACACACACAACCACTACCACCGCAACATCTCACCCAGGATGGCCATCAGCCCAACCGGAGAACGTTCTCAGTCACCTCAAGACTCAACTAAACAAAAGACAAGCCCATCGTCACAATCAGATCACCATCACCACCATGAGAACAATGGACGAGCTGAAGAGCAGTCCAAGGAGGGAGCTGACAGGGGAACAGATGACCATCCCAGTCGTGAACTAGAACCAGAACGAGAAGGCGAAAGAGAAAGGGATCGAGAAGAACCCGAGAAGAAGAACGGAGAGAATGAAGGAGGTGAAGACAAAAGCTCTATTAATGAGGAACACAGTAATAAATCTAGAAGCCGACGTGAAAAGGATAGAGTGCACAGATCAACTGACAGGTCGCGGGATCGCGACAGGGACTCTCGTAGAAGACATAGAGATCGTAGCGATCGTGATCATAGAGAACATGTCAGTCTTCCTCAACCTCTCAAACCACCCCCCTCCCCATCAACTGATCGGCTGTTCACACTTTCCACCATCAACAGGACAAGGGTGAAAGATTAGAACGAGCAGAGTTTGTCTTCCTTTCTTTCTGGCTTGACTTACCTCCCGAGAGTTCTCGAATGGTACAAAAGAAATGAAACTGATCGAACATTTGTTTCCAGGAAAACGATCGATCGATCGCCTGGAAAGGACTCTGATATCCGAAGTCATAGTAGTCGTCCTAGTCATAGAAGACATCGCTCTCGCTCTCATGAGACCGCTGAAAGAAGTCATACTGATCGTAGCAGACACCGAGAGCGTGATAGGCGTGATAGAGACCGAGATCGAGACCGGAACCGAGAACGAGGAGATAGAGATTTGGAACGGGACCGCGAACGTGATAAAGACAGAGAGAAAGATCGAGCTCGTGACCGAGACCCTAAAAGGAGTCATCGCTCCCGTGACTTGGACGAGGACAGGGACCGTCACCGGAAGAGACCACGTAGCAGGAGCAGGGAGCGTTCTAAGGAACCTCGTCCGCGCGACTTGGATGGCAGGGAATCTGAGCGGCAGAGGAGATTTGAAGAAGCGGATGGCGAAGATAGGTATGAAGTGACTTCGGATTCGTATTACCAAAAACACCATGTATCTTGCTAACAAGCTCTCCTCCACATCATCCTTTCCAGGCGTCGCCGCCCAGATCGTCGAAGTCCTCGCTATCGCCCCTATGAGCCCACTGGGTCACCCCCGCGGAGGTCCTCGAGTCCTCAGTGAGTTCAGCGGAATTGCCAGGGCCACTCTCACAACGGCCACCCTCAGGCTAACCTTCCTTCCACAATCCGCCCCGCAATTCAGTCTAACAGAGGAAGAACATGAGATGCGTTCTGTTTTTGTCTCTCAACTTTCTGCTCGTGTGGGCGATCGCGAACTCTTCCAATTCTTCGAGCAACAGGCCGGGAAAGTTCGCGATGCAAGATTGATCACTGATCGTATCTCTCGTCGATCGAAAGGGTTGGTTGTCACTGGCAAATTTAAATCCCATACATCCGCCTTTGACTCATTCATTTTTTTTTCTTGGCGTCTGAATTCAGAGTCGGATACGTAGAGTTTCGTGAATTGGAAAGTGTTCAGAAAGCACTGGCACTAACTGGAACTAAATTGCTTGGTCTGCCAGTCATGGTTCAATATACCGAAGCAGAAAAAAATCGACAAGCCATGGCAAACACTCAGCCAAATGTACCACCTGGATTTGTTGCTACGGCTCCACCACCTCCTGTTCCCCGACCTTATGTTGCCCCCAAAGCCAGGTTAGGCTGATCTGATTCCCTACTTAGTTAAAGAAAACGTTGCTCAGAGGAAGTGCTTATGAACTTAACAGGGGGCCCGGTCCGAACGATCCCAACAGCTACGCCAGACTATATGTGGGCTCATTGAATTTCAATCTTACAGATGACGATATTCGACAGGTATTTCAACCCTTTGGTGATATCGAATACGTCGACCTTCACAGAGATCAGATAACAGGCAAGAGTAAAGGTTATGCGTTTGTTCAGTAAGCATGAAATTCAAGGAAATCTCACAGAGCTGCTAAGGTCGATCAGGATCTTGAATCATTTTCTTCGTTATTTTCAGGTTCAAAAACATGCATGATGCGAAAAATGCCATGGAAAAAATGAACGGGTTTCAGTTAGCAGGTCGAGCCTTACGGGTTGAGGTTCGTTTCTGTTTCAATCCCTTTGATGCGGAACGTGATGGCTGACGAAGAATCTTAATGCAGATCAAAGCCCAGCCTCCAGCTGCCCTGTTAAATGCCACCGCACCTGGTGTAGCGAATCCAGTCATAGTTACCCCTTCGGGCGGCAACTTTACCGCCCCTGCACCTAGCACCTTCGAAGAACGCTTAGAAGACCCAAGTATGCTTTGATAAGCTTTTCCCATGTTAAATTTAGCCAATGTTGATGCCGGGCCATCTTATCCTTTAGTTGGTGGTAACTTGAACCAAATTTCCAGGGTTGAGTTGATGCACAAGCTCGCGAGAACCGAACAACCAACTAATGTACCAGTCACTGACATGTGTGTAACACTCATCTCACTTATCCATCATTCTTTAACTTGATTTGAAAACTTATTTTTGATCTTTGGTCATCAATAGGTTCCGTCCCAATATTCCCACGGCTACTTCGCGCTCAGTGCTCTTGAAAAACATGTTCAATCCTGAGGAAGAGACCGAGCAAGGATGGGATATTGAGCTGCGAGATGATGTCAAGGGCGAATGCGAGGAGAAATATGGCCCGGTCTTGGCTATCGCTATTGAAAAAGAATCCACCGTTAGTCTTCAATCCATTCTATTTAAACTGTCAAAAAAAAAACTGCACTGATTGGGTGGATGCTAATTCATTGGGGCTTTCTTTGTTGATGGACAACATCCCTGCAGGCTGGTGATATCTACATTACATTTGATTCTGTCCCATCCGCTCAAAAAGCTATCACAGGCCTTAATAATCGTTGGTTCGGTGGCCGTCAAATCACTGCTGCTTTTATCTCCGACGCTCTCGTCGCTGCTCATGGCGGAAAATAATTAATATAACATATTTACAAAATGGAGGGGAGGGAGACCCCATAAGAAATGTTTTTTTTTGGACTGGAGTCTGGAGATCAGTCCTGCGTTCTTCCTGGTCTTGTTGATCATCACTCCGTCTCTCCCTCTCCCGACCACCCTAGTTATGTAGGAGATACACTCTTTCTCTCTCTGTTGAAATGCAATCACACGTTATAGCCCTAGTCTTTGCTTTTCAGGTTTTCGGGTGGTAACTGATTATTGATGGACTCCCTCATGTTGGCCTTGAATTCTTTAATTCAGCTTTGCTAATAACGGGGTACAAAAGCGTTACACTACCGTTACGTTACCGTTGTTCATAACGGTAGCAACCCAGTGTTGCAGGCTGATAGTATCATGTCGCTGTGAGTTGTGATTAATGGAGGTAAATATGTACACATACCGCGACGCAGCTTGCAGTTTTATCCCATGCGTGACTCACTTCCCTCGTTAAGGACTTGGGTTTTCAGGCATATGAAGTTTGTTAACAAGCCTAAATCGTGCAAGCGTCTTCCATTGAGATGGGAGAAATGATTGTGTTGAAAGAGATATTCACCATGCTAGCATCGTAGTGATTTCCACAGTCGGCTGGGAATCTGATCTCACCGCGAAGTATGCTGATGTGCATCCATAGTGCTTGTCTCAATCCGGATCACAATTTTTCCAGTTCGATTGGGTATCAATTCGGATCACCTGTCTTCCACTTCGGTTTGGCATGAGCACTAACAACTATTGCTGGGGCTTCCCGTCGGCAAAAAGCAACCAGGTTGGTAACTAGACACTTGCCGCGATCGGCAACCCCTCGGAAGACGCTTAACGCAATTCATCGACGTCTCTTCTTTATCAGGCATTCGCAGGCCAGCGTGCAAGTTTTGGGCTTTCATCCGGAAGTTCAGTCCAAAGGCAGACATACTACTCCTCATGCGCTCTGACTTGAGCTCGGTGTCTCAGATAGCAACATCGCTTTCCTAGATGAGCTGTGTTCCGAAAAACAAGGACAAAATCATTGATCTTGCGACAGCTTACTACCCTTGGTGCAAGCCTATCAAAATTTGTATTTAAAGGATGAGCACAAGTGCCATCGGATGAGATTGTTCACTCCACGCTCACCTTTTCCAACATCAACTTGCATCTCCACCACATACCCTCGCTTTAGGCTCAACACTCGCTTTCCGCGCCTAATTTATCTATTTATCTTTCATACGACCCCAACTGCGTCCAGCATGCAATCCAGCTTAATTGTCAGCGTTCTTATTGTTTGCAGTGGTAAGTGCATCAGCTCGATTTGACTGTCTAGCGTTTACATGCTGAAATTCATCATTCCTGTGTTGCAGGTGTAATTGCCGTACCCACTTCTCGTGGGAGCGACTATGCCGTTACTGAGCCACATGGAGATTCTGAGTCATACGCGCCAACCAACTCATACTCCCCGCCACCCAAGTCGTACTCTCCATCAGTAGAGCACTCATCTTACACTCAGAAGCCTTCATACACTAACACGGCCGTCCCTCAATATTCCTCCGGACCCGGCCAATCCCCTCGGGTCCATGCCCCTGGGCCTGTCCGTTTCCCATCCGGCTCAGGTATGTCAACTGCGTTGTTGATAGATTACAATCATTGTTTAACAAATTTTCCACTTGTCTATTCCATTCTAGTCGGTGCATACCCCCAATACGGAGGCTTTGGAAACGGTGGTGGCATGCTTCCCGGCTTCGGCCTCGGAGGTCTTGGACTCGGAGCCAATGCGCAAGTTGCAGGAGGCGTCGGAGGCCTCGTCGAGGGTGGAACCGGCTTTGGTACGGGTATAGGCGCCAATGCGTTGGTAAATGTCGGTACGGGTCTTAACGCAGGTGCGCGAGTCGGAGCTGGTGTTGGCGGCCCTTTGGTCGGAGTTGGGGCAAACGTCAATGCGGCGGTCGGGGCTGGGGTTGGCGGTCCTCTCGTCGGAGCTGGTGCTAACGTTCACGCGGCCGCCGGGGTTGCAGGTCCGACCTCCATTGCTGCCCAGGCCACCGTTGGAGCAGCTGTTTCGGCTGCCCCTGTAGGAGTAGGTGCTGCTGCTCGTGTTGGAGCTGGAGTCGCCGTATAAACTCCGATTTGATATTCCCTTTGCTACTCGCACAAGCAATAAATCCGTTCATTGTTGCATTTTTTGCATTTTGCCACGTCCAAAGAGTCTACATACAAATGCGCCGTACGGCCGTGTATCGGACACATCTTCTTTTTGTCACATTTAACGTCCTCGTGACACCCATCTTGTACCGCTTTTTTTAACTTGCCTGATGGTAAGGGCCGGAGCCATCTTGAGAAACAGCATCGATTCATTGAGCCGCCGTATAGAATCCACCACAGTGCTAAAAGGTTTGCTACTCACACTCCTAAGCAATACATCCGGTCCATGGTGCATTTTTTTGGCACACTGGCGAACTTGACCAGATGCTGTGAGTGGGTCAAGAGTCTTGCGCAACGGATTAAAAAATCAAAGTGAGATTAAGCTCTTCCCCATCCCCCCCCCCCCCCGCGCCCCCCTTTTTTTTGTTTGAAGGAGCGGGACGCTGCCCCGCAGAGACCCCGCAAAGAACGAAATACTCGGTGAAGTAAGAACGATCGGTGTGGTTCTTGACCGCAGCTGTTTTGCCCCAATGATAGTCCTGATTCCACCCCGCCAACTGTCCTGCTCCATCTTTGGAGTTTTTTTTTTTCAATCAAACGCCTTAAACAGAAATTTTGGTGGGTCTTACCAGCTCAGCTGACTAAGCCACCCGTCTCAAGGGCGTTCCCCCAAAATATGCATGATTGTCAAGAAATAGAGAGTATTCCATGAGACATCCTCACAATCTTGTACCGTTGACTAATTTTGGCTTTCCTGGGCTCTGTCGTGACCTAAAAATAGGCAACTTTTTTATGACCAGAATATATGGCATTCGAAGCAAGAACCATCCCAATCAACATCATTTCTATCTATCAAAACACTTTTGAACGCAGAGCATTAATGCCAATCATGGGCAGTTCAATACAATAGGAGCAGACGCTGTGGGGAAACTCGATTATATTTTGTGTCAACGAGGTTGCGAAGCCTCTATGCAGCCCCCTCAATCGAGCTGAACGATAGGAGCGATTGGCGAGCGCTTAGATAAAAAGCCACTGTGCTTCAGAAACATTGAACCTCTTTCATTGATTATGAATCCACTTTGAGCGCGCGAGAAAAGGACCCCACTGCGTTAAACAAAAACTTTTCCCATCGCACTCACTTATCAAGATCTTGATTTTTTTCGCCAAGTTGCCCTTGCCTGCAAACCACTCGTAAGTGGTTGATCTGGCCACAAAAAAAAAGGTATCATTCATACAGCTTGTGGTGGTTTAACAGCATGTTGGGGCTGACCATCATCGTTTGTGATTTCTCTCATTTCTAACCGGGGAATTAAAATCCAAATCCTAGCAAATTCCATATTCCCTGTTCCTTACAAAGGTAAGTATGAAATCTTACCGAGATATTACATCAGAATTACTCTTCAAAGAACTTGATCTGATTCATGGTTTAGTTTCCAACTTGAACTCACCAAAATTTCATACACCTTGGTGAAGATTATGATGCTCTTCAAAGGGCTATTCTTGGTTTTTACTATGTCCACGGGGATTGAAAGTCGATTCCTTCATAAGGAGGGTTGCTCGACAAAAGTAACCTTTGCGGAGCAGGAGGGTTTCCCTTGTTCATTCCCGGACTGCCCAAACCTCTGCCCGCCATCAACAGGATATTGTAAAAATTGCGGGGTCACCAAGATTAGAAAGGAAATGGAAGGTCTATGTGTGCCACACATTATGCAGCAAATGTATGTGAGGTGTTCATCAGTTTAAATCTCTGATATAGTGATTTTAGTTCCACAATAAGGCTAACCGCTCTATATACAACCATCCTTGAAAAATAAATAAATGCCATTGGTAAGGATTTACAACAAAAAGAAAAAGAATGCCAGGCTTCTCAATTCAGAAGCTGAATCTGCACCTATCCAAAAGAAATTAAGAAAGAGCTATCGGAGCTTTCCCATTGTCCAGGATACCTAATGCAACACTTTTAGCCTCCCAAGGCTTCAGATCCTTGACTATCAAGCTTGCACTTGGTTATAATTTAATGAATTTTCTGTTTTTGGGGTCAAGTTGAAATTGCAGCATCCTGCTAGTCATACTATTACTATTAGTCATGTCCATCAAATTCTCAAATACTTCCTTTTTCTATTGCCCAGGCATATTTCTATTTTGAGGCAATGTTTGTTTTCTGAGAGTTGAATGAATTCAAAGATTTCATACATGCAACAAACCATTTGAAAGGAAAAATATACAGGAGATAGGGATTCCGATTTGATTGAATTCTAGGAGAAGTAATTTGCCTTAATGCATCATACTCATAGTTATCAGACAATCATTTCTCTTGTTTCAAAAACTAATTTAAGAAAATTTGCGACCAAAACTATTATACAGCGCAAGACTGAATCTAAGCGCTTGACACCATGTGCAAAACGCTGGCAGATCATAAAGTAAGTTGCCAAGAAACAAGATTGACAAGGTCACCTCAAGTTAAAATGCATGTGCTTGGTCGAAAAGGATGAAGATAAACTGACACCAAGCCAGTAAATCTAGGTGATGAGGAATAAGGCTAAGAAGACCACACCAAAGAGACCAAGACTTCTGTCGGACAGAGAGCTTGATCAATATCCGATTAAGGCATTCACCCAACCGTCAGCCCCATGCGCTGCTAAAGTCAGAACACTGCAAACCGTTCCCAGTTCGTGATTGACGCGATAGCTTTTACCCCAAGATCACGGTTAACAACCTGGCAACCAGTCTATCGTTATGCTCTATGTGCCGGGAGGAGGTTTGAATTCCTACAAAGCAATCATCGTCGAACCCGATCATGATGCGACGGATGATTCAATTTCTGGGTACACAGTGCCAGGAAGAACATGTCATATGGGGCTAGAGTTGGATGATCACACCGTTGGTATGGTCTCATCGTAATTTGACGAGCATTAGATTGATCTTGGTGATGTAGCCATTATGCCATTTGGGTAGATCCAGTGTGACTACCAAGCATCTCTGGCCCTTCCTTAAGATGGATGGCTCTTTCCCCATTTTTCCCTTTCCACAGCATCCTTCGTACATACATTTTCTATACCTCGCCTGACCGAATTAAACACTACTTTTTCCCTTGCAGCATTTCCTGTTTGTCGGCTAGATACCACCTCGTATCCTTTTATTGCTCCTCTTACCCGTGAAGCTCTCGAAGTCAAATTGCTTGTTGGAAACAAGTGATCTATCAGAAACACTCGACGAATTTTTCAATTTCACTGGCGACAGCCGCTGTTTGTATATTTTCACACATCCTCCTGCGCCTTTGAAGCGCACTTGACAAGACTTAGCCCGACAGATTATATTTTGTTTGTCATTTCTGCTTTTTCCTCGATTTTTACTTGATTTATTTACATGATTCCGTACTGACAATTCACGGCATTCCGATGAAACGTAGCAGTTGCTTTAGCACAATGTTGAAGATGAATGTCAGTTCGATTGTTGTTCTCAGCATTATCGTCCTCAGCACTGGTATTTCCTCTTCGCCGCTCAGCCTGGCCACCCGGACCGAGGATGGTGGCCATAGCTTGCCAAGCAAGGCACGTCGGGCCGTTTTTAAGGAAGTTAACAGACGTGACGACGGTGATTACGGGGGTAACAAGAGTCCACCTCCCGACACTGAAAAACCCCCTGCAAAGCCGGATGGCAAGCCCAATGGCGCTGTCCAAGACCCATCAAGCCAGGATCTGAAGAAAGATGACTGCAAGCAGCCTCACGGCACCATTCAAGACGCAACAAGCAAATCTCCGGACGAGAAACCCTACTCGTCTCCAGCCGGCGACATGTCCCAACCTAATGGCACCATCTCCGACCCCACAAGCCATGCTCCAGACAAAGAACCCTACTCGTCTCCAACCGACAAGATCTCCCAACCTAATGGCACCATTCAAGACGCGACAAGCAAATCTCCAGACGAAAAGCCTTACTCGCCTCCGGCCGGCGACATGTCACAAGCTAATGGCACCATCTCAGACCCGACAAGCCATGCTCCAGACAAAGAACCCTACTCGTCTCCAACCGACAAGATCTCCCAACCTAATGGCACCATTCAAGACGCGACAAGCAAGTCTCCAGACAAAGTACCCTATTCTCCTCCAGCTGGCGACATGTCCCAACCTAACGGCACCATCTCCGACCCCACAAGCCATGCTCCAGACAAAGAACCCTACTCGTCTCCAACCGACAAGATCTCCCAACCTAATGGCACCATTCAAGACGCGACAAGCAAGTCTCCAGACAAAGTACCCTATTCTCCTCCAGCTGGCGACATGTCCCAACCTAACGGCACCATCTCCGACCCCACAAGCCATGCTCCAGATAAAGAACCCTACTCGTCTCCAACCAACAATATATCCCAACCTAATGGCACCATTCAAGACGCAACAAGCAAATCTCCAGACGAGAAACCCTACTCGGCTCCGGCCGGCGACATGTCACAAGCTAACGGCACCATCTCAGACCCAACAAGCCAAGCTCCAGACAAAGAACCCTACTCGTCTCCAGCCGGCGACAACTCGTCTCCAGCCGGCAATATGTTACCACCTCATGGCACCATCCAAGACCCAACAAGTCATGCTCCAGACAAAGATCCTTACTCGTCTCCAACCGACAACGTGTCCCCACCCCCTGCTACCTTGCAAGGCCCCGCAGGTAATGCCCCGAAAGGTCAAGATGATTCATCTTGAGTCGTCGCCTGAGCTCAAGCCCACATCGGTTCTCAACAAAGTTGAACTCGATGTTGATGCTCGCATTTACTGAAGATAATGTCTGTTGTATTTAGATTTTTTTAAAGCTGATTTCGATGTATATATACTTCCAATACTTGTTGAATACTAGCTTCGGCCTTTTCATTTCGAGTCTCCTCTGGATCATGTATTTATAGACTAAGATTACGAGGCAAGGATAAGAGTACAGAAAGACTGAAAACATTGCATTTGAAAACCCGAAAAATATCAGATCTCTTGTTACAATTTTTCTTCAGGCTTTGTGCGAGTTGTTTCTCTCGGTGTATAGATTAGTGTGTCCCAGAGATGGGGGACGCTGTCCCTGGGAAACGCATTGTGGGGGTGAAACCCGCATTACGCTTTCCTAAGATGCTAAGTCGACGCAGTCGAACGAATTCATTCCAGCTACTTGTTTGTACTCTTTGTGCCTTCCGTGTTTTTGCTGCCATCCAAGTTCATCACTTGGGACGATAGCTGACTTAATGCAGCCCCTCCGAAGAGCGAGGGGCGCTGGGTGAGGGAAAAAAAGGTCTGCAGCGGCTATAAAGTGAGTTAGAACTGCACCTGCTAGGGTGCCGTTTAAGTCGGGAGGTTATTTGGGTTGAAGCAGGCCGGGAAGCTGGGTGTGATTAACTTTCAAAGAGCACCATTCTTTACGCGTGAATGGAGACAATTCCGCGTCCCATGATGAACCAATTTTCAGGCATTCCCGTCTGTTATTGTTTGTTGAGTCTGAGTTGAGCGGTGTCCATCATGCTGGCTAGCTTTGAGCCGGGAGGTTACACATCGTGACAGCTCCTGTAGAGCTGTGGGATGCACCGGAAGTGAATGCCTCCAATCACGGCCCGGGCGTTCCAATAATTATCTTAATACAAGCACTGTGGGCGAGGGTATTACATTATCATATACCTGTGAAGACAGTGTGTATGTATAAACACACTGACGATTCTATCTTCTGAAAAATTAGAATGACTGTATATACAATAAAAAAAAAAGAGAAATCGACCCCTCTGTTCATCCGCGCGGGGAAAAAAAAAGATGGTAGTCATAAAACAGCACAAGGGAGAGAGATAAGAAAAAGTCCGAATATGAATTATTTAAGTCTAGCTTCCGCAGCCCTAGCCCTTCGTTCACGTTCCAATCGCATCCGTTGTTCTTCAGACAAGCCAGCCAAGGGGTTAGAGACGACAGCAGGAGTCTTTCGATTAGTCGAGCCTCCACCTAACCGATTAACACCAGAAGGGAGCTTATTCTGAGCACCACTACCAGCTTTTGAGTTCCTCTCTTCTTCCTCTTCTTGTTGCTGGAGTTGCTTAGCTTTTTGAGCTTTCTCATTCTCTGCACGAACTCGATCACGTTCTTTGAGTCTCTCCTTAAGTTTCTTATTCCATTCCTTGTTCTTATTACTTTGATTGGTCTCAAGTTCTTCAGTGAGAGCCGAGGGGACTTTAGCTTTAGAGATCCAGTCCCATTGGGAGGGGTTTTTAGCCATTGCTCGACGGAATGCGTTCCGTGTTAGTCGAGAGGGCGCGAGCTCGTAGGCGGTCAGATGTGCTTTGTTGGAACCGGTCCGAGAGCCGACGATCGTTGGATCACTTCCGGCGCTCTCGAGCATCCATTCGACCATCGTCGGTTGGTCGGCCATCGAGGCCAATTGTAACAAACTGACATATCCCCCGCTCACGTCGGTACTCTCGGAAACTCGAACTGGAACCCGCCCAAACCATTCTGTCTGATTATGTTTCTCAACGAATTCTTGCAGTGCTTCTAGTTTGCCTTTCTTCACCATCTCTACCGCTCGTTCCCATCGCGAATCTTCCAGTTCTTGTTCCTTCTCTTCTGCGGTCTTCTCTCGCGTCTGCTCTATACGCTCCTGCCGTTTCCGTTCCTCCTCGGCCCGTTGTCGCTCCTCTTGCTCTAACTTTTTCGCTAGTTGTAACTCCCGTCGCGTTTTCTCTCGTTCGTATATCTCTCGCATCGTCTTCTCCTTCTCGGCCATCTCCCGACGGGTCGTCTTGATGATCTTGACTCTTGTTAACTCATTAAAACATCGCTTCAATTCATTGAATGTCTATTCAAAAGCAAAATATCTCAGTTTTCAAAAAAAAAAAAACATCTTGCATGATGAACATAGAAAGAGACAACAAAAGACTAACAGGACGTTTAGTGACAAAGGGTAGGCTCCTGACCCGCGGATCACCACGCGTAAGTTTATATCCATCCGGTTCGTCCTTATTCTTAAAGAACGTTTTGAGGTTAGATTTACTAGACCTAATGAAAACTAAATCAGATTGACTAATGGGCTCATTCCAGGCTTTGAGGAGTGCTTGAATATCCTATGATCACACCAGGGAATGTTCATCAGTTTGAAGTTTCTCAGTTGTTCTTTGAGAGAAGGGTTTGTATTTACCTGGAAAAGAGTTTGCTCGTTGTATCTTCTCAGACTTGCTCCCGCTGATTTAGCCGCACCTTTTCCACCGGCATCGTGACTAGCTTGACCACCACCTTGCTTCCTTCTGGCTTTTGTTTTGTTTTGAGAGTTGTTTGTGTTCATCAAGTCAGTAAACATCCATCAAAAGTGAATTGTTCAAAACAATAATGCAAACTCAACTGGTATAACGATGGAAAGTTTTATGAAGTAAAATTACGGGTTCGATTTCAGGTGGTTTATTTTTACCAATGTGTCTTAATTTAGGGATAGTAGAGATGACCATAGCCGCAAAGTGACCGCCACCGATCATGAGGATAGTCCAAGTTGGAAGGGACGCTCGAGAGTCAATTTCGAGTGTTGAAGGAGTGGTGAAGTCTGAGGCTAGGAAGGGACGTTGGAGGGCTTTGAGTTCGGCTTTGTATTGATCAGCTTGTTGTTGTTGTTGTTGGTCTTGCTCCTGGGCTAGGGAGCGATCCTGTGATGAGAAGCTGTTGGGGAAGATGGAGCGGTAGAATCCTAGCTGGACGATCGGGTCGTCTTCTGAGGGAGACTCTAGATTGGACGCGGTAAACCAGATTAACGGACTTGATGGGGATAATAATCTGATCGGTTCGTTTGAGTCAAGTGATGGTTCTTCGGAGATGGAGATCAATTCCTGGAATCTATCTTCGAGATTGATAGTTGAAGCAGATTCTTTGAACTGTTTGGATGACTTGAAGCCAAGATTCTGATGGTTTTGATTCTTGTCATCTGGGTTTGAATCTCCTGAATCATTCGAAGAATCTGATTCTGAGTCTGATCCGCTGAGTGAGTCTTGTAGGTCTTCGAGCATGTTTGTGAATTTGGCTTGGTCGATCGGCTTGTGACTGGTTGATCTGGTGGATAGCTTGAGGTTAAATCTATGCCAATCTGATCTGAAGTGTTGACGTTGTAATTCATTTGAGTCAAAGCTGCTATTACAGACCGTACAGCTAAAGCTGAGTAGGTTATCATTTTCCTGATGGGTTTCTTCTTCTATTGTGCTTGTTGACTGCTCCTGTGGTTGGTAGTAGTTGGTTTCGGCAGTGATAGTCTGTAGTGAGCTGATCAGTTCTTCTGGTAAGCAGAATGAGTGCAGTTGTTGTTGGACTGTTTCGTTCATCCTTGTTGTTGTGGTTGTTGTTCCTGTTGACCGTCTTCCAAGTGGTTGGTTGGTCGTGGTTTTTGGTTTAGTAGGACCGCTCCCACCAGGGAATCAGTAAGCCCCCCGAGCAATCGCCTCGCGCTTGTCGCAGGCTGCGCGAGCTGAGCCAAGCCCCTCGTGCTGCGAAGTGTGAGCTCGCCAAGCATGCCTTCAGAGCATCCGCATCGGTTCCTAGGATTAGACTAGGTTAAACCAATGACTTTAGTCCGGACTAGCGCTAATCCATCCCGTCAACCGCATTGGTCCGGATTAAAAAACTGGATTAAGACCTTTAGTCTAGTCTACCTCTGGCATCCACATCGGCTGAACTGCCATCGGCTCCGCGTTCCTACCTCCATCTCTACCTACCTTCATCAATGGACGAGCGGTCTTTAATCCGATACCACATCGAGCTCGGACGGCAAGCAGTTGAAGAACTCCTCGACGATGATCAGGCCGTCCAAAACCTAATAGAAGAACTGGAATCGGAATCGGACGACGATGAACTAGAACCAGAAGAACGTAGACGAATGCCAAACAAAGACAGGGACCGATACGACTTTCATGATAAGCTGATGAAAGATTACATTGTAGAAAATGCTACCTACGAGCGCCAATTCTCAAGACGGTTCCGACTTGATAAGGAAGTCTTCATGCGCATTCTTCAAGACTTGACCGCCAACTACACGTTCTTTGTCCAGAGGCCTGACTGTACCGGAAAACTTGGACTCAGCCCTGAACAAAAATTGACTGCCGTCCTTCGACAGCTAGGCTACGGGATTGCTTTGGACGCCACAGATGAATATTGCCGCCTTGGTGAAACTACGGCTCGAAACAACATGTCGATGTTTTGTACAGCTATTCAAGAACTCTATGGTCCAATCTACCTGCGAACGCCAACCGAAGACGATCTGAAGAGGATATTGAGTCAAAATGCTGCAAGAGGTTTTCCAGGATGTCTCGGAAGCCTGGATTGCATGCATTGGGGTTGGAAAAATTGCCCAACTGCCTATGCCAGGCAGTTCAAAGGCAAAGAAAAGGGACCAACGGTTGTTCTCGAAGCGGTGGCAACTAAAGACACTTGGATTTGGCACACCTTTTTTGGTACTCCAGGATCTCTCAATGATATCAACGTACTCGAACGATCTCCGCTTTTCCAATCATCCTTGGCGGGTAATTCGTGGTCGGTGGAGTTTGAAGTTGAAAATAACCATTACAAGAATGGTTACTATCTAGTGGATGGAATTTATCCCAGCTGGTCTACACTTATCAAATCGAAAGGCTTGCAACCGACACGAGAGGCAAGATACTACACAAAGTGTCAAGAAGCAATGCGAAAGGATGTAGAACGAGCGTTTGGCATCCTCA